GTTATCGTCCTCGCTTATCGATTCGTCGCCGGATTAATGCCGACCGACCAATAATTAACTCGTTATTTAGCAAAAAGTGCTCGACGCAGATGCAATTGTTACGATAAGAACAACCGATTTCTTTCCTTTACCTTCTTTGAAAGGGAAGAACTGCTGCGAAAGCACACACCGGTGCGCTACAAATCCAAGTGTGTTATTTGTACACGCATAAACGTCTCAAAATGACCGAATTTGACTGAAGCTACTTTTACGTGTTTTTTAGATGATTTAACTTACGTCATTTAAAACGTTTAATCGTGTTAAATTAACACGTTAAATGTAGACACGTCGATTTAACAACTGTCTGAGAAATGTGTGAAAAGAGCTTCAGCTAAAGGATTTGCAGTGTGTGTGCAGCTCGACGAAAGTGTATACACGCATTCATTCGAAATAGAATAATACAGAAGTTGCACGGGCTTACGATTGTTAGAAACAGCAAAATATCGCTGTGCGATACGTACGACACGAAACGAAGAAATAATTCGAGCTCGGTGAACTTCGATATTTATGGAGACGCGTCGCAATCGCGTTCCTTTAGGTTCGCTGGAAAAATACCGCATCCACTGAATGCACCTCTAAACATCCAAGTTCACCGAACCTTAACTAATTCTCTCGTTCCAACCTCGCCTGGAATAGAGATGAAAGATCAACCCGACATCGAATAACTTTACCCGGTGTTTACGGGGGCGAGCGCGAACGGGGAATAAAGTTCAATAGCCATCAGAGTTACGTGCGTGCGTGCGTGCGTGTCTCGCTCGCGCGCCAACTGGTCACGCGTGCGTTATCAAAAAGGGATGAATAGAGATAGGAAAAGGGGGTGGAAAGGGCGAGAAAAACGCCCTCGTCCCCGTTGTTTCATCGGGAGCGCGTTTCGTTACGCCGCGTCGGCCACGTCGTTTCAACGGGCGCGTTTATCGACGCGTTTATCGCGATTGTTGTTGCTAATATCGGCCGACGAACGCGAGCGGAGCGAGCTCGCGTGTGAATAAACTCCGAAGCTTGGCCTGGCTGGCGCTATAGCCGGCTGGTTGGCTACCTACCTAGCTAGCTAGCCAGCTAGCGGGCTGGCTAGCTGCGGGCGATCGACACAGCGACTGAATTTCCATCGCGCGAAACACAAAAGCGGCGACGGCCGCCGCTGCAGCTGACGGCGTCGTCCGTCCGCCTCCACCGCAAAGTGGTCGCCCGATTGAAATTCCCAGCGAATTATCCCGGCAAATTTTCGCTTTTGCACGGACTATAGGAGCGTGTCCTGTTCCCATAGCGCAGAGTAACCAGAGAAATAGATAGAGAGAGAGAGAGAGCGCGCAAGGGCTATATTGTAAAACATAATGGGTCGATCAGTCTCTCTCTCTCTCGCTTTCGGCATTAAGCCGGGAAATGTGCCGGAAAGAGAAATTCGTATGCCAGAATCGCCCTTTTATTACCGCTGTTATTGTTATTACCGTGTTGCGCGGAGCGTTCGATAAATTGTAGCACGACCGGCGAGGTAATTCTTCGTGAAAAAGAGCGTACGGGGCAAAAGATTGGGAAACAAGTATCGCCGATAGGTCCACGTGGCGAAATGTGCAAGTTTTTAGAGATACAAAATGACGTGCGATGGATGTTTCGCGCTTGTAGGGACAAGGTAAAACTTTGCGTAACAGTCCATGAATTCTAGCTATGTCGTTGAGGCTGGTAAATCATATTACGTGAAGCACAGAGAGAGAGAGAGAGAGCGTAGCGAGCTGTTGAAAGAGCAGCCGTTACATTTTATCGTCTCCTGGTTTAGTGGCGCGAATTGTTAATCGGTATATGATCCATACAAAGAAACGCAACGTATTTTCGGTGAACGAAGTGAAATGGGAAGGAGGAGAGGGAAGGGAGAAGAGAGAGAAAGGAACGGAAGGAAAATCGTAGATAATTAAGCACCGCGAAAATGACAAGCGGAATGACAGCTCGCGGCCGGCGCTCCTGATCGGTTAGGCTCGTGCATATTTAAAATCCGGGTCGACGGTTCGTTAGAGGGCGATTCGATTAACCGTTACGGACGTAGCGCGCATCACATGGCGACAAGCCGAGAGACGAACAGCGGAACAGATTATCTCGAAATTAATGCGTAATTTTGAGCGACGAAATGGACAAATAGAAGCACGACAAACGCAAAGAACGGTGAGCAAATAGTAGGTAAATAAGCGAGGAGGTGGGCGGGGAGGGAAATAAACACGCAGGGCGGGATCGCGCGCGGAAAAAGGATTCCTTTCACGGACGGTTATCGATGACGTCGACGCGACGAGAAAGTTTCGATAAAGAGTAGGCGGCTTGCGAAATCACGCCGACTCTCGATATTGAATATTCATGCAAGGTAGAATCGCTCTACCTCCACCCGACTCTGCCGGCCGCCTTCCCTTCGCTCTCCGTCGTCGGCCTCTCTCGCGCGACTCCTAAGGTCGGTCGATACACGATACCGGGGCTATTCCGCCCGGCGAGTGTGTTTACCAGAGATTTCCGGCGAGATGGGATTCGAGTGCGAGTTTATGATGCCACGTGTATCGCGTGCGGCGCGATAAATGCAACGTAGCGATGCTGCGTGAGATCAATAGCTGTGCCGGATATAATTGTTGTCGTATTCAACATTGTTGTATTTGTATCGGGTTAATGCAAAAGTTCGTCCCGTTTTTCGTTCAGAAATCCCAGAATTTATGCGGGCACGGGATTATGCGGCATGTCGAAAAGATTGCAAGTCACCGAACAACACAGCGTATATTTAATCGAGTGATTTTATTTAAAAATAAATACATATTATGTATGCATTTTGATTGAAAAATGAGAGGAAGTTTTGCATCAATCCAATATTTTGAACGCGCGGCGTTACTTTTTTATCGCACACGTGATAAAAAAGATTCCATCGATCGATAGCCGTCGGCAGTTAATCGGCAGAGTTCTCCGGGCAATTTTGCGCGGTGGATCGCAGCGGAAAAGTGGTGGAAGGTGGAAGTCGCGATTCGCCGCGTGAAAACTTGGCGGCTTTTCAAGCCAAAATTCCGAAAGTCCCAGGCGAGCTTAATATCCGATAAAGCGAGGACGGGATAGTTTCGCCGTGTCGCGGCGAATTCGCGACCGCGGCGCGGAAAACGCGAATGAAATTTACGCGGAATCGCGAATCGAGTTAATTTCCGGAAGGGATTATTTAATATTCCGAGCAGCGTCGCGGCGAGATTTCGATTAAACGGCGATTCGACGGGCGGATCATCGTCGGGCCGAAAAATACACGCGGACCGACGACCGCGCGGATCGTCCTTTGTGCCGCGAAACCCGTTTATTTGCCTTAAACGAAACACGCTCGAGCACCACAGAGGACATTACTGGCCGCGCGCTATAATCGAAATGGATTACGCCAAATAAATTACACCGAATTACAGCGGATTACAGATCCGAACGGCGCGCGCGATCACCCGCCGGATCAACGCGCGAAACGGAATTTATTCGACGCGTTAACGCGCGTGGGCACTTATTCGCGAGTGACGCGCCGCTGAAATATATGCGACAGCACACTCGCGGTTGGAGCGAGATGAAACCCTTTTCCTTCTCCGAGAGCGCGCCATCCAGACGACAGATAAAACTTGGTCGCTCCTGTGAGAGGAGAAAAACACGCGAAGAGTGTCCCGTCCGTTCAACGCGGGCAATTCTCCCGGCGCGGCGATTCCGCGCCGAAAAATGCAGTTGGACGAAGAAACGGTAGGTAGCGCTTACGCGAATTCTGCCGGCGACCATGAATTTTGATGGATCTTTTTCCCCAGTCGGAGATGCTTTCGGCCGGAACGACACTGATTTGCATTATGCAATTTGCGCGCGCGCGCGAGTGAGTGAGCGCTCGTGTAGTCTCGAAATATCGCTCGCGAAAGACGTTGAATCCGTGTCTCTTCTCCCTCTCTTCTTTTCCTCCCACCCTACGTTTTTATCGTATTTTTTATTATCGCTTTGGTGCCGCGGTATCTCTCCAACGTGCAACCGCGAGACCGTATAAACGCGATTGCTCGTGTCGTAAACACGCGTTGCTTCAGATTAAAATGGCAAATGTATGGTAAACATCGCGCGCCTTTAAATATCGCCCCCGAGAATTGGAAATGAAGGCGAGCGGAGTTATTCGGAGAACGGCGTGTGTATTTCCACGAAGGAGAAGAGTAACTTGCAATCTGTATGCGCACGGTGCGCGCATACTAACGGTACAAATAGGGCGCCGTCTTTCTCGTATATACAGCATCGGATATAAATATGTAGAATTTAAAAAAAGAGGAACGTCCTCATAATGTGGCCTGACCTTTTAATATCCCGGCCGACGCATTCGGTGATGGTACGTGTGCCATTAAACAGCGTAAGCTCAGGGGAAAGCGCGTTCGTTGCCAACCAAACGAAATTCTAATGTAAACGAGCCTATTTGTATTCTCCCCATTATCGCGCGACAATGGTCGTGGTACTTTCGAAATATCTTTCGTAACTACGCGGTTAGACCTGGGAGCGACAAACTCGCATCGCCCAAACTCGAAATTTCAGGAAATGAAAGTGAGAAAGAACGTCGCATCTGGGCGACAAATTAGCTCGACCGGCACGTAAAGGGCGTTTGTACGTCGGAAAATATTTGTAAAAATATTTCTCGTGCATGTGCGTAATATATTACTCGGGTGATGCGAGACAGTATCTGTGTCAGATGTGAATTATTAGTCGCATCAGTGTTATATCAGCATCGTTCTAATTACAGAAACGCGAAAAATTCATGGCAAATGCTTTAACGTGCTGGACGTTCGTCGGGAAGGAAGATTTCGCTAGCTTCACGGTCGCCTCACTTCAAAGAGAAGAATTTCTGGAAGATCAGCGACTAATTACCATCTCGCGTGCGCATTTTCACGCTCGTGGCGATCCCGATATTCCGGCGCGATAAAACACGAGAAAATACTGCGGCCGCATACAAGATGCACTCCTACCTGGTGTGGCTGCGGGATGTGTCGGGCTCCGTGGCTATTAGCCAGCTGTGCTTACGGGGCGCATAAGCGCAACCTCCACCTCCGAACCGCGCCGGCTTTGTCTCTGCATCCTGGAAAAAAGCGAAATGAGCTTCAACACGCTCGTCAACATGCCCGTTATACTCGCGCCGTAATTTACTCAATTGCGGCTCAAATATAACGTATTTACCTCTTAAACGGATGCAAAGTGCCTCTCTAATTTCCGGTGATTAAAAGCTGCTGGATCTGAATTACACACGACCGTTGGACGTCGCGTAAAAACGAGAGAAAATGTATTACGGCGCAGGAAGTTACGATGGTCGCTCGGAGAAGAGGGGGAATCGAAGAGCTGCGTTATCTCGTGCGCGACGATGAGCGGCACAAAAATTTATATCGCGCTCGAGGTTTATGCCGCTCGGAAGTTTATATTGGATTTCATATTTAATGCAACGTACGCCGCCAACGTCGCCGCATCGACTCGCTCCGCGTCTCCCGGATAAATTATTTATGTCGAGCCGCTTTGTCTTTGTCCGCTTCCGAAGAATGGCGACGGAGAGCAGGAGCACGCCTGCCACGGAAAAACGGATGATCGGTGTAGGAGCCGCGATAAGCCGCGCCGAACGAAAACCGCGGTCGTTGATCTTCACGAGCGCTCGCGAATGGGAGACGCGCGCGCTCCGTCGACGCGACCCGGAATATTTCCTCTGCCGAAGCGCGGAATCTCGTTTCTATCGCGCTGTCATGAGTAATCGGAGAGAAGGAGAGGGAGGCACGACGGTGTACTAAACGAATATGAATATTAATATTAACAATCGCATGAATATTAATGATCACGGATATTCGCAATTGTAGAATTATAACGAACTGTGTCGGGAACGGCAGTCGCCCGATTTAGGGAGGCCAAACACCGAACGGACAAACGCACGCAGTGAAATGTTCCGTGCGAAAGTATACACGAAACTTCGTGCTTTATGGGATAAACGCACCCGACGCTTTCTATTCTCGCATGTTTTAATACGGCATCTCTGTGCGATATATCGCATACATCACATATTACATTAATAATCGTTACTTGAAACTCATCGTACGTGAGATACTCAGATTTACATTTAGAATTAAATACAAGTTTTTGCAGCGTTTTAAAGATAATTTAAAGATAAATGTCACATATGACACAACTGAAAAATGTATATCCACTTCTAAATTCAAATCTAAGTGTCTCTCGTGAAACAAGTTTCAAATCATGACTATTAATATGCGCGTCGTATGTTCGTATTAATAGTCGTAACTTAAAACTAGTCTCGTAAGATACTCCGAGATTGCAGTTTAAAATCAAATATGAGTTTTCACGCTGAATTGCGATCACGAATATATAAAATATATCATATGATTAAAATGAAAAAGTTAGAAATAATGATAAGTCCAAAGCCGAGTTATCTCGCGTGAGACAAGTTTTAACTCACGACTATTATTAACGCGTGACGTAATTATACACGAGACACACGTCACGACAAGAGTACACGAGACGAATGCAAATGCGTGCAGCGCGAAATACCGAGAAGAACGGCGCTTGTTTCACGTCCGTGTGTCAATTTTTCGCCGAGATACGAATGTCCAAAGTTCTCGGAAGCAGCGTGCTGCGGTCTTCGCCGCAGGTAGGCGGCTCACGTGTAACACATTGTAGTACCGTGGATTTCACACCTCTGCCTTTTTCGACCGGCGAATCGCCATTGTCGGCCGCATGGCGATTCGCCGCTCGTCGATATCTTCGCGTAGAAAAGACCTAGCGACGTGCAATCAATTGCATTTTAAAGCTAAGAATGCCTCCAATAGGGAAACAATTGTTTTTCCATATTGCCAATTAATTTAATAGCATAGTGAAATATCAATAGCGTTCTTCACGAGCTGGAGATTAATCTACGATTGGAAGCTTTCAACTTTCATTCATTTGATTCGAGCGAATCAAAAGAAGATGAATCGCATTGAAGGGAATATCATCTTTCGTTTGTTGACATAAGAATGAATAATTCTGAGAAAACGTTTCAGTTCACATTCTCGTTACATTCTTTGATAGCACGCGAAATATATAAAGACTTAATGCTACGTAGGATCCAGAATTTCGAGAATGTAAAACCTTCGACTGTCACCGTATTTATCACACTTTGATGAATCACCCTGCTATTATCGCCATAAAAAAATTACTCCTGAAAATTATGAGCCGTACTGCGCGAAGAAATATCCGGTTATCAGCCGATAATGGCCCAGTACCGAATTCCTGAGCAATGTTTGGCAACAATGAATCAGCCAAGCGCGTTGGCACCGTTGTAACATCTACCCGGCCAGCACGTATGGTAAACGAGCTTTCGCGTCCAAAAAGAATGCCGTCCGAAGAAAATACGGGAGGCCACTCATTTATCAATTCGCCGAAAATTCATCCGGAGACTCGGCCAGCGGGAAAAAAGGTGAAGCGGGACGCGTTTAATTGCCGCGCGCATTTGTCGAAGGCGACTCTCGCGAGCCGAAGGCTGCGTGGCGCGAAGAAACGTCACATAATACACACCTAAACGGCGGCGTTTCGTACGTGCCAGGAATTCGGCCTGCCGGCTTATTGCGGAACGGCGCTTGCGAAACCATTAATAACGCGCAAGAGGGTAATTTTCACACGAGAGAAGAGAAGGACATCGGCCCACCCCCGCCTCCCTTATTGCCACGCGCCGTGCCGCGGCGGGACAATGAAGGACCATCAATTACCTCTCGAGCCCTTCGCGATCGAATGAAGCTATTAAGACGGCCAAGTGTACCGTCGAGCGAGAGCTCGTAACCCACCCGCCTACCCCCTGTGCCAGCATTACGGCTTTTCTCGCGGGTGTTCTCTTCCGCACGCCGATGCGGAACGACTTAATAGCCCGACGATAAGGATCGGGGGAATCCTCCGCACCCGGCAGCTTTTTGTCACCGGCATCCTTCGAACGATAAGAATCGGCGAGGAGAGCAGCGTGTATTAATTAGACGATGACTCGCGGCTATTTATCTTAATTAAGCGCGCATCAATCGTCCTTAGACCTTCCGTGTCTTCTGAGCGAAGGATTATGAGCGGGGATGAACGCGCACTTGTGTGTGTGTGTGACTCAAGGAGTCCGCGCGAAATTTTGCTAGAATAGTAAATGTTTGTCAATATAGTAACAGCAAAACAAAATTTGTTCAGACAGCAAAAAAGTTTGGAGAAAGGTTTGTTAAAAGTATTGTATTAATTGCTATTTGCTGGATACACTGACAGCAAAATAATTTGGTTACGCCAGCTAAATTTTATCGCTGTGGTAACGACGTTTTGTTACAACGGCAAAATTATTTCTTCCGTGTAACGGATCTTTTTGCTGTCACAATATTAACAATTTGCTGTCCGGCAAAACTTGTTTTCTCCGTACAGGAATATCCTAGGATAATCAAAATGTACCACTCGACAAAACGCGGGGCGATTGTTTACGATTTCTCTCTCTCTCTCTCTCTCTCTCTCTCTCTGTCACTTCTCGTTTATTTTTAGCTTTTGCTTTATCTTCTTTCTTTTTCTTGCGGCGATTGTCCGTACACTTATGTTGGATTTGTTGCTCTTACAAGATTTATCCTAAAGCATAATAAAGCAGGTTTCTATTCTAGATTCTATTCTTTCTTTTCAAGGGAAAATCTCGTTCGACAAAGTAAGATTGAAAGTGACAATGCGCGCGTGCAATACGATCGAATAAAAACGCTTCCGGACGGACCGACGGATATATTCCGCATGTCGAAAACTCTTCCGGCCCGGCCGTGCAGCGGTTGGAAATAATTTCGTGCGGTAGAGCGAGGGTGGCGATGATTAGTGAAAAGACCGGAGAGCGTGGCGGCGCATCGATTTATTTACGCCCGAAACGTGGCAGCGGATTTATAGGATTATTGATTGCAGACTTGTCAGCGTCAGTCTGTTACCGTGTATTTGAACTCTCTCCAACCGAGCAAACGTTCCGTTTACATTTTTCCGAAGCGGCCCGACACAATCGGCCGCTCGGCATCGTTGCCTCCATTGTTCGCGGGTTCGCGCTCGCCGGCTCCGTTCGCAATTTGTATCTGCCGTCCCGACGCTGTTATTAACCAAAACCAGACCGCGCGAGATACATCCACGGCGCTGCCCAGCCGCGATAAATCTTATTACAAAAACGGACGGTGCTCTCTCTCTCTCTCTCGCTTGCGCGCACGTTCGTTCGCGTTCACGCTGCTGGAAATATCGTCCGAGCTTATAATGGGTGCGAATAAGAACGTTCTTTCTGCAAACATCGTTACGACGCATCGTCAGTCATTACGACGTAAATAATCTATCGCGCTTCGTACGCGATTCCAAAGTAAAACCGTCAACGAAGCGTCGGCAAAATTGCCCCGGATATGTGAACTGTGATACCGTGACACATCTTTATGAACGCGATCAGGTCGGGGCAATTTGTCAATGACCTTATCGAAGCTTCCTTTCGGGAAGCTTTTTCGGGATATGATTTTCCGGAGATGCCTTCTATTACGTCCGATCAAACGTCTCCGCCGGAAATCACTTTCATCGTCTCTAATATGTGCGGAACGAAGGAGAATGATATAAATTACAATCAGTCATATATGTCAGTCATACAAAAAGAAATGAATCGAAGGCAGTTAGTTTCGTTGGATGAGCAAAGGACGAGGTGTACGGCGCTCGGAATCCTTCTGATGTCGAGCTTTCAAATATTGGCCGTCTGGGAGAGAAGCTCTACGTAGCTATTTGCGCTACCGTTATTTGCAAGCTGACAGGCGCACAGTTTCCTCGTTGCAATTATGGGAAATGGCGGTACATACGTGCGATCGTGACTCAGGTCGTCGGTCGGTCGGTCGGTCGGTCTGTTGGTTGGTTGGTCGGTTGGTCGTTCGAGGAAATTAGATCACGTCGAGTGATTCGATTAGGAGATGTAAGAAGATGACTCGCGTTCAACGCGAGCGCAGAGGATCCCCTCGCGCACCTCGATTCGCGTTCCCCCCGTTTTTCCCGCTCTCTCCTGCGTCGTTTCTCCGAATAAATTTAAATGTCCTCGGAACAAACCCG